TTTCTAGTAATACTGATTGGATGGTGGTGAATCTTTCAGCTCTTTCTTGTCTTGGCTTGTGAGAATGCTTTCCCCTATTGTTTTTAAATACCTCCCAAATCGGAGTGTCCTTATCAAAGCATATTTTTTTGGGGAAGTTGTTAATCCTTACCCAAAGATATTTTTTTCCATTGCTCTTTTTTTTGTTGGGGGGGGAGTGGGATGGGGTGTGTGGAGAGACATAGAGGGAGGAGAGATATTGATGTGAGAGAGATGCATTGATTGGTTGCCTCTTGCACACGCCCTGACCCAGGATCAGGCCTGCAAACCAGGTAGATGCCCTTGACTTGGAATGGAACCCCGATTCTTTGGTCCGTGGGCTGACCAAGCCAAACGGGCCAAAGCACCACAGCACATTTTGTAGAGTTAATATATTTCTCCTCAAAATCTGGGGCTACTGTCTTAAACTTGGTTTTTAGGAAACACCTAGCAATTTTTTGTACCTTTGTATTCTGCTATTTTGATATTTAAATTAGTGCTAAATCAGCTGGGTTCTTTGGTTTGGCCATCCTCATTTTAGGGTTATTCAGAGAAATCTGTCCTTCAAACACGTGCTGTACAAAGTTAAAGTTAGCCTATTGACTTGTTCCTGTTGTAGTTTTATTGCTTCATACTCTTTAGTTTTGAATATATCTGGGTTAGGATGGAAGATAAATGCAAACCAGTATGTTATTAAAAGTTTTTTTTGTTTTTTGTTTTTCTTTTTAATGCTTTCTTTTCTAAGTGAGAGGGCAGGACGGAATTATCCTCCATTCTGTAATTGAACCCTAGCCCTCACCCAACCAATCAGGGTTAGCCGAGGCAGTGACATCACCACCGACCGGAGTAAAACTCCTGGACTGGGCGAAATTCGCTTTCTCTTCCGCCATGTTGCCGGCGTGAGTGGGACAGAGCCCATGCTAGTATGGAAAAGGCTCTTTTGTTTATTGCATCGGACTCGGCTCCCTGGTGGTCCTTGGGGATCACGAAGTCTGGGCGTAACATAAGCAATGTCCACAGAGCTCAGAAATGTTGCTCTCTAACCTGTATAACTATCTGGGTGTGTTTTCAAATAAAAATTCGCTGGTGATCTCCATTTTCCTCAGCAGCCTGCATACTCTTCTATGTCCAGAAGCAGAGATTTCCTTGCTTTTTCTTTGTGTGAAAACTTTGATTATCTCACCCAGGATCTGGATTTTAAAGTTTAAATTCTAGAGTAGATTTAAAGAAGGGTATGTGAACTCCGCTGAGGGGTATTTGTCTTTTCCTCTGCTATTAGTCAGGCTTTAGTCCTTCTCGGGCAGTGGTCGCTAACCCATAGTCTGCAGACCACTGGTGGTCTATCAGGTCTGAAAGGTTGGCTTCTGCTGTTCTAGGACATTCAGGATCTGAGGCAAGGACTGTTCTATATAGTAGGGGTTCTGGGAAAAGCTTTGGACTAGGTAATTCTAGCCGGAGACCAGAGTTCTGATCCAGTTCTGTTATCACCCAACTAGATAACAATCTCAGCCTCACTCAACTCATCTGTGAGTATTAGATCAAACCCTGATCTTGAAGACTCCTCTGAACTCATGACTTGTTTTGTGTCACTGAACCAGGTAGAGAAGATACTTGGCCTGTCAAACATGTAGAAAACCACCTGTGACACAGTGAGCATAGAATCAGACCAAGGGTTATAACTTAACCATAAAGGAAAATGCAGATATCTTCCTGTGTCACACTTGACAGGGAGAGTGTGAAATGATTCCTGCTGCTTAGGTTCTGCACAGAAGAACAAACAGTCATTTTACCCTTTCCCTCATGGCTCTATTTAGACCAGAAGTGTACAGTAGAGACATGGTTGCTGCTGGCAGGATAAAGACTCCTCCACTCAGGGGTTCCTCAGTGCCAGTCACTTTTCATTATGAGTTCCTACAGCAGATGGACAATGTTGGTGGGGAGATTAATCTTTTTGGCTACATGTTCATCTCCCTGACTTCTGGGAGGGGTCCAACAGCCACAGCCAAGAGAGTTCTGGGCGTCTCCTGGTTGAACCAGCATGTGCTAGAGAAATAATAGTCCAGCCACCTAGAGGAAAATAAGAGCTCAAGTCATTTTTCTTAACATGTTTTTAAATCACAAAAGTTAAAAACCAATAAAACATACTAAATGCAGAAAACTTAGAAAACACAGAAAAGCAAAAAGAAGGCACAATTGCATTAATTCTAATCTAATCATATATTAGTGTATATATTTTTAATATGCTTTCTAGGCCTATGCATATTTTCTCAGAATAATATGCTTCTTTCTTCACCTATTTCCATTTGGATAAAATACTTTCACATGTGTTTTTTTAATGGTGGAATAGCTAGGTATACTGATAATTACTACTGTAACATGCCTTTTTTAGAAGCCCTCTTAGTCTGTAAAGTCCCCTATTCTTTTTTTCTTTTTTCTTTATTGATTAAAGTATTACATATGTGTCATTATTCCCTCATTGCCCCACCCCCCATCCCTTCACTCATGCCCTCACCCTCCTGGTATCTGTGGCCATTGTTTAGGCTTATATGCATGCATACAAGTCTTTTGTTTGATCTTCCCGCCTTACCCCCATTTTTAACAACTTTTAGGGTTTGTCATTATAGCACCAAATCCTAATATTTTAGAGAGTCAGTGATTGTCTTTGGGACATTCTTGAATTTACTAGTAAAAGCAGCAGGACTCAATTCCCAAAGAAATAGCAATCTTAGGATATTCTGGGTCCTCTTTTGGCTCCATAGAAAAAAGCAACTGAACTGTTGATGAGTCTGAATTGGATATGAAGGGAACAATGTAAGAATTTGGGGTGCTGTCACTGTCCAAGCTTAGTGGACTGAGTTCTTGGTGTTGCTTCCCCGCTAACTGCTAGGCAGGAAGCACTGCATGCAGAATGGTTTCACTGGACCTTTTCTATGGGAATGATAGGTTAAGGCTTTTGAAACTTAATTATATTCATCCTGGATGAAATTATGTAAAAACTTTAAATTTTGCCCTAGCCGGTTTGGCTCAGTTGGATAGAGGGTCACCCTGCGGACTGAAGGATCCCAGGTTTGATTGCAGCCAAGGGGCACATGCTTGGGCTGCGGGCTTGATCCCCGGTGGGAGGGCATGCAGGAGGCAGCCACTCAATGATTCTCTCTCATCATTGATGTTTCTATCTTTCTCTCCTTCTTCCTTCCTCTCTGAAATCAATACAAATATATTAAAAAAAAAACTTTCAAATTTGATATGCCAAAAAGTCTCCAAAAATTAATAACTTAGCACATTTGTTAATTAACTCTTTTATAACAAAATCCTAGTTGATTAGGAAACCCTTATTTTTACCAGGAAATTTCTAGCCTAATCTTACCTAGGCAAGTTTAATTGAGGCAAGTTTGAGAAACTTTTGCTTATCTCTCTCCTTCCATCAAAATGCCTTGCCATAGCCGGTTTTGCTCAATGGGTAGAGTAGTGGCCTGGGACACATACCTTCGACCCAGACTCCGCCCTGGCCCTGGCCCTGGTCCTGGTCAGGGTGCATGCAGGAAGCAACCAGTCAGTGTGTTTGTCTCACATCGATGTTTCTCTGTCTTTCTTCTCTCTTCCACTCACTCTAAAAGATCAATGGAAAAATATCCTTTGGGTGAAGATTAACAAAAAAACAAAACCCAAACCAAAACAAAAAAACCCAATGTCTTTAGCTACGAGACTAGTATACTATATGCACTTTTAATAGTTGTCCTAGAAGCACCAGATAATTGAAATAGCATAAGATTCAATAGGTGTTTCTTAATTAAGCATCCAATAAGAGGCCAGGAGCTATAGTACAGTGATTGATGTAGTATAGTCATTGGCTGATTTTTTTTTTTCCTTAGGTGTTTCTTTATAAGTTGTTGAACTCAAAATAGTTTTCATTCTGTTGCTGGAAGTAATTTTAAGATCATTCTGACTTTTTAATGATTTTGGTCTTTCTTTCCTCCCATAACTTAATTCTTTCGTTTTTCTTACTCAGCCTTTTCTTATGGAATCTCTCTCTCTCTCACTCACTCACTGGAAAAATTCTTCTATTATGGAATTCTAAATTGTTATATACCTTACAAGTCTATACATGCCCTTGGAAATTGTTCTAAGGCAGTGATTATAAAACCAAATGCCCATAGGGGTAGGAATGTCTGAAAGTGAGGAGCAACACCTGATGAGTGTCAGGGAAGTGAGAGGGGCAACCACTAGGGACTGGACCCTTAGGATCTACGTGAGGAGCTGGCAGCTGTTGCATTCCTGCAGATTATGGCCGTTGGGGTGGAGGCCTGGTGCCGCCAAATGATCTGATTTCTCAAAAGAAACTGGAAATACGGATTTTTTTTTCTTTGTAGTATGTTTGAAAATGTAAAAATTATATATGTTGCATTAAATTAAAAACAAACAAACATATGGATCAAACAAAACATGTCCGTGTCCCAGATTATGCTCACAAAAGGCCAGTTTATAGTCTTTGCTCTAAAGGATGTTTTGCCCCCCCCCCCAAAAAAAAAAAAATTAACACTATTAATGAAGAAGAGTGTGTGGGTGCTAAAATGTCTTAAAGCTGGTTAGGTTTTATTATTTTTTTAAAAAATCACCTTTAGCAAGGACATATTACTTAACTATAAAGTTTTGATGAATTAGTTGTAGCACTTAACTCTTTAATTGCATGTTATATCATCTTGTTATTTTGTAGTAGCTCAGGTACAGAGCATACTTGTAAAAAGATAATGGAGTTTTAGGCTAATAGATCTCCAGCCAAGTGCCCAATTTTGATGTATGATTTTGTCTTAATTTCCAAATAAAAGTGTTCTTAATTGAATCTAGAAGAATCTAGAATAACTGTAGGATTTTTTTTCTAGAATCCTTGACCATATATTAGCAATGTAAGGTTGAAAAAATTGAAAATTAATCTTGACTCTATCAGATGGATATTCATGTATTTTCTTTTTCTTTTTTTAAAGATTTGAACATGGAATTCAATCCTTCAGACCATCCTCGAGCCAGCACAATATTTCTCAGTAAATCTCAAACAGACGGTAGGTTGCTAATTTACATATTTTTTTTCTTTCAAAAAAAGCAAGGCCTATGTTAATAACTAGTGTAAGTTTTCATTTCCCACTAGAATCCTTTGTCATGACTCCCCCCCTCCCCCAAATATATTGTTTGATGCTAGTTCTCTTGGGGTTTCTTTCTTTTGTCTTAAGTTATATTTTTAGAATTTTCTATTTGAAGCAATGTTGCCAATCAGCTGTGAACATTCTATGTCAGTAGTTTTCTATCCTGAGAGTCACAAATTTTTCTTTAAGAATTGATATTTGCATAAGTTCTCTAAAGATCAGAAGCATTGGTTTCCTAAGACGGTTTGTAAAAGAAAGCAAAATATATTTTACCCCAGGTGTGTGTGGAATTTCTCCTGAGTTCTTTTTTTCTTCTCTTTCCAGTACCAGCTTATCTCGCTTTTCCATGGTCTTTAGCTATAAAGAAGAGATAAAACTTACACAGTGATCATAAATCTTCTCATTTGGATTCCTATAGAAAAGAGTATTAGGAGAAAGGTGTTACATGATGATATTGTGACTAGGATGTTATATTACAACTAGAGGCCCCATGCACGAAATTGTGCAAGGGTCTTGGCCCTCACAGCCATGGCAGCTTGCCTTGACCTTTGCAGCCAACCCCTAGCAGCCCCAGCTTCGTCCGTGATGTGTGGTCTAATTAGCATATTATGCTTTTATTATTATAGAGTCCTGTGTGATTCTATTCCTGACTTGGCAAATTGCTAAGCTTTAATTTAAAGAAGGTCCTCAATTGACTAGAAAATAATTTAACATATTTAAGACAGTAAGTTCATTATAGGAATTGACAATTCCTCAATAATGATTAGGTAATAATTTTGATATGGTATAATGCTGATGTAATATTGGTGATCTTTAGTTAAGCAGATCACTGACTTGATTTGAGACAACTGGGTGCGTTATTATTATTATTATTTTTAAAAATTAATGTTTTAAGAGAAAGAATAAATCATTGTACACTTTAAATACTTGTGAAGCTTTGAATGTATTGGGGTGGGGGGAATAAAAACAAAATTTTGCTTTCTTGGCCTGGTAAAGTGGAAAGCCATTGAAAGAAGGGTAGGATATGGCAAGAGAAGGAAACTGACAGTGAGGATGAGGGCTTGGGAATGATGGAAAAGGAGAATTAACATTTTTTACACTTAATATTAGTGCTGTGAAAACCAGCTACAGGATTGACATACTTTTGGGTTTGGTTTGGGTGCAAACCAACATCATTCTGAAGTTTTTCTGATTAGATTTACATGAAATTGCATTAGAGCCTCTAAGTTGGTAACACATGCCTTGATCATCATGGTAAAAGGAAATTCAGCAATTATCTGGCCTAACAGAAGAATTGCTCTGGAAGAAAGGAGTTAGGGAAGTATATATCTTCCCCCTTCACATCTACAGCAGGTCTCATTCACTCCTTTTTTTCTGGAACACAAGGTATCAATTCCTCTCACCCTTCTATTCATTGCTTCAATTTTTCTTTAAATGCTGGAGTTTTCCATTCAACATATGAAATGATTTATTTGAGTCTCACAGGTTAAACACAATAAAATAAACAATAACCAACACCTTCCTGAAGTGTTCCTCTCTACTCTTCTGCTTAGTGAAAACTTCTATACCATCTCTACCTTTTCTCTTTCCATTCAGTATTCCACAGGTGACTTCTTTTCAATCGCTATTCTGTGTAGGATATGTTGTTGTAAGGTTGCCTAAAAGACCTTTTGCCTCCTTTAGCTCTTGAATGCTCATGGCACTTGCTGCCATGGGCTATTCCTTCTCCTTTGGCTTCCTATTATCAAACAGGCCAATTTGCTGAAAACAAGTCTATCTAATAATTGCTTTAAATTTTAAAATAGGTAAATTTGATAACTAGTGGTTTAATTCTTTGATAAATTAATTTATTGCTAGAGAATTGGAAATATTTTGAAAATCTGTCCTGAAAACTCCTTTTCTTAAAAAAACACACCAAAGATTGATACTCTTACAAATGTTCCCCATTTCCCCCTCCTTTACCAACTCCACCCAGACGCCACCCTCATACCCTCCAGTCTTCACCACATTATTATATGTGTCCATGGGCTATTATGCATGTATGCGTATGTTCTTTGGCTAATCTCTTCCAGTTTCCTCACCACCACACTCCTCTCTGAAGTCTGTCAGTCTGTTGTTCCATGTGTCCATGCTCTGGTTCTATTTTGTTCATTAGATTCTAATACAAGTGAGATAACATGGCATTTGTCTTTCTTTGATTGGCTTTTTTCACTTCCCATCATACTCTCCAGGTATATCCACACTGTCACAAAGGTAAGAGTTTCTTCTTTTTATAGCCTCATAGTATTACATTGTATAAATGTACACATTTTTAAAATCAAATTATCTATTGATGAGCACTTGAACTGTTTCCAGATCTTGGCTAAATAACTTGGGGGATTGAACCTGCAACCCAGGTATGTGTCCTTAACTGGAAATTGAACCCATTACCCTTCTAACTACTGAGCAAAACCAGCCATTACCTTTGCCCATTTATAATTTGGATTGTATGTTTTCCTTGTGTTGAGTTGTATAAGTTCTTTATATATTTTGGAAAATAACTCCTTACCAGATGTATCACTGGTGAATACGTTCTACCATACAGTAGGTTTCCTTCTCATTTTGTTGGTGGTTTCTTTTGCTGTGCACAAGTTTTTTAGTTTGATGTAGTTCCCATTGTTTATTTTTTCCCATTGTTTCTCTTACCATAGGAGATGATCAGCAAAAATGTTGCTACAAGAGATGCCTGAGGTTTTATTGCCTGTGCTTTTTTTAGGATTTTTATGGTTTCATGACTTACAATTAAATCTTTTATCCATTTGGAATTAATACCTGTGTATGGTATCAGTTGGTAGTCTAGTTTCATTTTTTTGCATGTACCTGTCCAATTTTCCCAACACCATTTATTGGAGAAACTGTCTTTACTCCATTTTATGCTTTTGCCTCGATTGTCAAAAATTAATTGATTTTAGAGACATGGGTTAATTTCAGGGCACTCTGTTCTCTTCCATTGACCCATTTTCCTGTTCTTACGCCAGTACCAGGCTGCTATGGTTACAATGGTCTTGTAGTATAGTTCATGGTCGCCAACCTTTCAGACTTTACGGACCACTAGTGGTCCATAGACCACTGGTTGGAGACCGCTGGTATAGTTTGATATCAGATATTGTGATACCTCCAACTTGGTTCTTTTTTCTCAAGATTGGTGAGCCTATTTGGGATCTTTTGGAGTTCCATATAAATTTTACATCTCTTATTAAATTTTTGTTTTATTTCAAAAGTAAATGGGATTGTTTTCTTAGTTTCTCTTTCTGAGGGTTTATTATTGGTGCATAAACATGCCACTGATTTTTGTATATTAATTTTCTATCCTGCTACTTTGCCAAATTCATTTATTAGGTCTATTAGTGTTTTGGTGGAGTTTTTACAGTTTTCTGTGTACAGCATTATGTCATCTGTAAATAATGACAGTTTTACTTCTTTCTTTGCAATTTGGATGCCTTCCCCTCCCCCCCCCTTCTTTTTGTCTGATCACTATGGCTGGGACTTCCAGTAATGTGTTGAAAAGAGTGGTGAAAGCAGATATCCTTGTCTTGTTCCTGATCTTAAGGGCAACACTTTTATTTTTGCCTATTGAGTATGATGTTTTCATATGTGACCTTTATTATGTTGAGATATGATCTCTCTATTTCCACTTTGCTGTGGATTTTTATCATAAACTACAGGCCTGGTGCATGAAATTTATGCATGGGCTTTATCTCCAGCCCCCGCATGCTGCAGTGGCTATGGTCAGAGTCCTCTGCCGCCCCTGCCTCAGCTCCTGCCTGCTGGGCTTTGTCTGGAAGGAAGGACGTCTGGTCTAATTAGCATATTATCCTTTTATTATTATAGATGGGTGCTGGATTTTTTCTAATGCTTTTTCTGAATCTGCTGATATGATCATGTGATTTTTATCCTTCATTTTGCTTATGTGATATATCATATTTATTGATTTGTGAATATTGTACCAACCTTGCATCCCAGGAATAAATTCCACTTGCTTATCGTGTATGATCTTTTTAATATATTGTTGGATTCTATTTGCTATTATTTTGTTGAGCAATTTACTATGTAGGTTCATCAGGGATTTTGGTGTAGAATTTTCTTTCCGTGTAGTGTCTTTATCTGGTTTTGGAATTAGGATAGTGCTGACCTCAAAAAAAGAGTCAGAATGTCTTCCCTCCTCCTGAATTTTTTTCTGGAATAGTTTGAGGAGAGTGTTATTTCTTCTTTGAATGTTTGGTAAAATTTGTCTATGAAGCCATCTAGTCCAGGACTTTTGTTTATTGGGAGTTCTTTGATTACTGATTGAATTTCATTAGTTTTTATTGGTCTATTCAGGCTTTCTGATTTTTCCTACTTTAGTTTTGGAAAATTGTATATTTTTAGGAATTGGTTCTTTTCACCCAGGTTTCCAATTTGTTGGCATATAGTTATTTATATTATTTTCTTGCAACTTTTTGTATTCTGTGATGTTAGTTGTTATTTTGCCTTTTTCATTTCTGATTTTATTTATTTGTGTCCTTTTTCTTTGTTTCTTTTTTTTTTTTAACACCCCCCTTCTCCCCCCCAAACACACACTTTTTGTTTTTATTCTTTGTTTCTTAATGGGTCTGGCTAATGGCTCACCAATCTTATTTATCTTTTTAAAGAAGCAGCTCTTTGATCTTTTGAAAAAAATTTTTCAGTCTCTATGTTATTTATTTCTGCTCTGATTTTTATTTCTTTCCTTCTACTTACTGTGGGCTTTTCTTGTTGTTCTCTTCCTAATTCTGTTAATTGTTTGGTTAGTTTATTAGTTTTTTTTCTTGTTTCTTGAGATAGGCCTATAGTGATATGAACTTCCCTTTGAGAATTGCTTTTGTTGTGTTCCATAGATTTTGTGTTGTGTGTTCATTTTC